TTTGAAAATTTGGAAACTCGGGAATCCCCGACTTTGAAAATTTGAGAATTCGGGAATCCCCGACTTTGGAAAATTAAGAACGCAAAAATTTGCAAATTTAGGAATCCCAGACCCTGAAAATTTCAAAATTCGATAATTTCCGACTTCGGAAATTTACCAACTTGCAAACTTGACGCTTCATAATTTCAATAATGAAACTAATAAAGCCTATCTTTACGAAACTTGAAAATAACGGAGGAAAGAGACTACCTATAACCTTGAGTAACCACTATCCTCTACTCAAGCTATACCTCTCCCGTAAGAACTTAAGCTAAACTTTCAACTAAGGGTTTAAAGAAACACCTCCCTTGTACAACTAGTCATAACAAATTTATTCACGACTGAAACTAACAATATTTCTTCTAGATAAAGGTATCGATAAAAAAAAACGTGGGAAGGGATTTACAATTTAAACTAACAATCATCATCGATATTAATTCATCGAGCAAGGGCGTACCAAGTACACACCCTCGTGTTATTAATATAAAAAAAAAAAAAAAAATGAAACGTACGCGTGTTTCAGATTCACTTAAACGCAAATAAATAATTTAGCAACGATCATACTCGAAAAACGTCGAAACGATTTCGTTCATTCTACGTTCATTATTACACACTATACATATCGTCCTTCTGAAATTCCGCGGAAATATCATTCATCGTTACCGAAAAATCCATCAAAACACGAATTCTCTTTGTCCACAAGAAAGAACAGTGAACCGAACCTAGAATGACATTTCCATAAGATCTAAAGTTACAAAATCGGTTTTTCGACAAATCGACAGTGTCCTTGAATAAAAAATGAAATGACGTTACAAAACGTGGATACACTAATCTCACACCTCGAACACATCTCATTTTTCAGTCACAATAAGCTCAGACGTTTGGTATCCTTAAAAAAAAAAAAAAAGAGAGAGAAAACCAGAAAAAAGAAACAGAACCGATACAGAACACATCGATTCGAACACACACAATCGTGTTCAACAATCTTCGAACTACTATCACGATCTGTCTTAACAAACGGACGATACATTCCGTGATTTATATTCCTAACCGTTTTTCGTATCAAAAACAAAAAAAAAAGAACAGATATCACTCGCGTCTATTTATGAAATTTCCTTCGTCACGGTCTTCACGTGGCTGCCACGAAACGATAAAAACAAGTTCTTCGTCAAAAGAAAAACGTACTCCAAAATCACAGAGAGATCTCGAACACTGGTCCGTGAAAGTTAGACACGCCGCGTCGCGTTGTCCTAATCATTCTCGTCGTTTCGCCTCGATCAAATTCAACTCTGTCACGCGATCAACGCATTTCTAAAAGAACAACTCCTCCTTTGGACAATCTGAACAACGTTGAGACATCGCTAACGTATATCACACTGCCAAACTTCTCTTCCTTCCTCTTCTTCGTCCACTTTTGCCTCATCATGTTCTCCTGAGCCTCCATGATGGTCAGTTCACGAGAAGGTCTTGATAATGTCACGGAGGCTCGTGTACGTTCCTACAATCAGACCGAGAAGCCCGAACAGGATCAGAGACATGTTCTTCGCCAACATTAGGGTCTTCTCCGTGCGTCCGCACACGTTCCAGAACGTGCAAATTTGAATGATGGCGGGAAAGGCCAGCCCGAGGCCCGACAAACATAGTGCACCGAAGAGAGATATGAAAAGGTCTAGCTGAGGAATTGCCACTGCCAACAAGACTGAAAAATGTGAGAGAAAAACGAACTTAGAGTATTTCTAGATTTGTACTAGCTAGGAGAGTAGAGGGAGAGACCGGCTGTGACCTCGAGCAACGCAATCTTCGACGCAGGCTATACCTCCGCTGTATAAACTTAAGCTACAAATCGAGTAGATTGAAATTGGGTTACTAGGTTAAAGAATTTAGCAACGGATGAGTTTCGTTCAATTGCAGCCAGATTTAGCTCTTTGAAACGTGAGTAATTTTTTACTTGACTTTCATTCCAGGGTCAAAATATTTAAACAAATTTTATTTGAACTTAGCAAGTATTACGTTAATTTAAAAAACGATCAATTTTCAGATTGGTTATCTAGTAAGACTCGTATGGTAATTAATGAGAATCAAAGGGAGATCAGGTTACCGGTCAGGGAGAATCAAAAGCGGTTACGCTTCCGCGATAGTTAGTTCTAACCAGTTAAAATCAAAGGCGGATAAACTTGAACGATTAAAACCAGGAATAATAGCGTTACACTTCGTCTCTAAGAGTTCAAAGTCAATTAAGCCTGTACACAACAACAGCATTCGTTCTAACTGGCTGAAAATAAAGATGGCTAAAATTAGAAACGAACGCGATACACATCCTTGAGATTGCTTTTAGAGGGAAACTGAGGAGAATACGTGGTACGACAACGCTGGAGAAAAAGGACAATCGTCGAATATTGACGTCAGCGTGAACAGGCGTCGGTAGGAAACTAGTTGGTTTATTGCACGAGGAAAACCGTCGTGATACTCCAGCAATACACCATAAAAGGAAAGTGATACTGTATCAACAGCTCGAATTGACGTCACGGCAGGTGAAGGACATGGAGAGAGAAAGAGGGACGTTCACTTACATGTGAGAAGGACCAGGGACGTTCTCACAACGTACTCCCACAGCAGCTTATGCGAATTTTTCTCGAGATTCGGTGCAATGTACTCGTTCCACGCGATATCGATCGCGACGTAGCATTGAATTGGATGGGTGAAGAAGATGGCTATGGCCAACAGGACCTGGACGGTCTTAGCTAAGTACTCCGGCTCCTCGAGGCTGAACGTGATGCTGCCCTCGATCGCGCTTCCATAACGAATGTAGCCGAAGAAACCGAGGCAGGTGTAGAGGACGACGATCAGACCCATTCCTGTGTTCAAGACACCGACCGGTCGAATGAACGTCCTTGGGTGCTTCATTTCGTTCTCCAGTGGCATTATCTGCGAAGGAATCGAGCGTGTTATGTTTCAGGTGTGTCGAGAGTTTTGGGAAGGTGGAAGTTTGGGGATATGGGAGTTTGGATGTTTGGGGATTGGAGAATTTGGGAATGTGAAAGCTTGGAAATTTGAAACTTTGAGATTTCTGGAGTTTGAGAATTTCAAAAGTCCAGAATTCGGAAATTTGAGAATGCGAAAGCTTGAGAATCTGAAAATTTGAGATTTCTGGAGTTTGAGAATTTCAAAAATCCAGAATTCGGAAATTTGAGAATGCGAAAGCTTGGGAATCTGAAAATTTGAGATTTCCCGAGTTTGGAAATTTCAAATATCTAGAATTCAGAAATTTGAGAAACCGAAAGATTAGAAATTCGAAAATTTGAGATTTCCAGAGTTTGGAAATTTCAAAAATCCAGAATTGTGAAATTTGAGAAACCGAAACCTCGGAAATTTGAGGATTTCGGAATTTTAAAACCTGAGAAAATCAAAGTTTGAAATTCAGAAAATCAAGGAACTCCAGAATTAGGAAATTCAAGAATTCGAAAATCATTAACTTACCACTCCTATAGCTTCAAGAGCGAAGAGCACAGTGCCGAAATAAAGCGGGAAGTTCTCGACGTTCCCGATCACCTCGCGGTTCTCGAAGGACAAAGGCTCCCTGAAGATGTAGTACAATATTATACCGAAACTGACAAACGTGATACAGTTGGCGATTGTCGAGCACGGCGCCAAGAATTTCAAATTCCTAATCCAATTGACCAAGATCAGAGGTAACAGGATTGCCAACATGTACAACCTGACATCGATATCTGGAAGAGTCGACTTCAATGCCTGAAAACAAAAAAAAAAAAAAACATTATCACCATCGTTTAAATCTCCATTTTTTTCACACTCAAAGTGCAATTCCCTGTTACACAAAATTTGTGGGCGTAATGAGCACTATTAGCGACAAAACAACATTACAACGACGCTGATTATCGGTTTCCGTGATCGTCGATATCGGTGTTGTTACCATTCGAATTCAAGGCCAACCGGAAATGAGCCGCGACTCATTTCTTAACACGTACCATTTACCATCGGTTTAGCCTTCGTCTTACATAATGAGCGTAGCGAGTGACGTAACGAATACCGCTACACATTTTTGCCCAGAGTTCAGAACACAATTTCCCCGTGGCTTCAACGAGGAAAGAGAGTTTCTTTCGAACGACTCGCTTATATAAACGTGGCCTGGCCGATCAAACAAACGCAGGTTTTATGTAATTATCGCCAGGCTTGGCCAAGGTGGGTTTTTAATTTTCGCGCGGTGAAGGGCGCGACTGGAGAACGGACTTCCGGCGGGAAGTCGATGACTATCTTTCAACGTGTTTGTT